TAGGCACTGACCAGGTGTCATCAAGGCACCAGCTCCATGTGCCGATCCAGCACCTAATGACTCTCACCAAGAAAGTTACAAGAATAGAAATAGGGCTAGTCCACCCCAAAGCCCAGAGGGAGGATTAAGGAAAATATTTGTTGGGCAAAGGAGTCACTCACATTTAAGGAGTATGAGATGGAAAATTGAGATCAGAGAATTGAATTCCCTGAACTTTTCTAGCATAGCTGTCTGGGGAGTTTCTGAGAACACAAGTCAACTTCCCAGTTGCTTCATTCAGAGGCTAAGGAACTTATCTCTAATTAATCCAATTATAAAGTCAAGACTTATTTGCCCTGCATGACTAGTCCCCTCTTGTCCTAGGCCCTCGAGGTTCCCTTCTGCATTCTCATCCCTCTGCCTACCATAGACATCCTCAAGAGGCTCTTGATACCAATTCTGCCCTCACCAGTCATTGGATGACCCATGTCAGCAAGTTCCAACAGATTTTAACCAGGTAGGCCCAGACCATTTCACACACATACTCCACGGACCTCCTGACCAGAGAAACTAGACATGGAAGGGCCATCGAGGTCATCATCTTCTTGTGGAAGAAACACCAAAGAGAAAAGTACTTCTGTGAAGTTACCCCATGCACAGTCAGCATAACCAAACCAGCTCTTTCCTGACTCCTAGTACAGGGATCTTCCAGCTGTTCATTTTTAAATTCTAAGCCCTTTACCACTGATTGTCAACAAATGTCTTCACAAGCAAGGGCTTCAGAAAAACTAGAGTGCCCTAATTGCCAAGCATAGTGTCCTAAGTCACAGCACATTACACACGTGTTGGGCAGTGTTGTGTCTCTCAACTTTTCTTTCTGACATCTCATGTATAGTCAACTCTACTATGGAAACTAGTGTTGCCATTTGGCAGATTAGCTAACTGAGGCTCAAAAAGTTTAGGGAAATCGTTCAAACTAATGTAAATATTCACTGTGTTGCCTAAAAAATAACTCCAAGGGTATTTTGCACAGAAATAAAACATGCAAAACTAAATTTAGATGGAACAACCAAAAAAGCCACAAGTAAAACAATTCTGAGAAAAAAGAACAAATGCAGAGTTTCATTCCCTCAAAACTTGTCTCTCACCAATCCCACTCATAAGTATCTACCTAAAGAGGTAAAAACAGAAATTAGAAGGCATGTAAACACTCCTATGGTCACTGCATTACTGTTTACAATAACCAAGTTATGGAAACAGCCTAAGTACCTGTTACTAGCAATAAAATATAATTGCTAGCCCTGTGCACAGGTGTTTGAGGGAGGCAGATTCCGTGGGATTCAATGACCACACCGTATTAAACGAGAAAGAATTTATTGTGAGCAACAGAGGCGATGTGTGAGCAAAATTATGAACAGTGCCCCAAACCCAACCAAACCAATGAACATGCATACAGACTGTACAGTTTCATCAGAAATCAGCATCACGGAGGCAAAGAGTCAGCACTCTGGAGAACAGCACGGGAGATGTATCCACTTCCAGCAGCGCGAGCAGCAGCAGCTAGGCGACCACTGTGTTTTTATCTCCCAAGGTCGGATAGGGCCAGTATCCAAGCTCAGGGATTCATGGTGGGCTGGTCACGTTTCTGTGCAGGATGCCCCGCAGTTACATAACCAACCCTTTTCTTGGTGGTCCCGGACACGGTGAACAGTTACATAACCAGCCCTATCTTTTGGCTCCTGGTCCCGGCGCTGGCCAGGCTCCCGGATCAGGGGGCCAAAAGGTGGTCACACATCTTCCAATGTCCCCGGCAAAACAACATTAACACTTTATTTTCCTACATTTCGGCCGTATGGTTTGTTGGGGACATAGGGCTGATGTCGATACCAAAAACTATGGGCAAGTGCCAAAGACCAGCTGTAGGGGCAGGAACAGGACACAGCGCAGGTTTTCTGATCCCATGCAGACCGGGTAAAGGAGGAGTCAGAGTCCTTAGTGGTTTTTGCAGGTCTTTTATTGGGGTTCACCAGGCAATGGCAGGCAGGGGTGCTGGGGGGCCAGGAGGCTGGCAGGCCTCCCAAACCCCAACAAATCTTCACTCTACCTGGGCTCCCTGGTGATCTCGGCTTCTCTTTCGGCTTCTGCTTCCGCTTCTGCTGCTGCTCCTGGCGTCCTCGTGACGTGACCTTAAAAGCACAGTCTTAGCTCAGCTGTATACCATCTACCTATGCCCACACCCTATTCCAGGTGCCCGCCATCAGGCATGTATTCAGGACAAGGATCCATCATCTATCCTGATGGCGGAAGGGCAGAAAAGCCTGACGTTTTCTTTACCCTACACCAGCTTTTGGCAAAATGTTGGGTCAGAAGTCCGTGAAAGGAAAAGACGGCCTAGGTGAAGGAAAGGGGTTGAGGGGAAGGGGATGAGGTAAAACAGAAGTTTTCCAACCTTGATCCCAAACTTTAACAGCATAGCATAAGTTTGTAAATTAAATTTACTTATAAACCATATTATTTATTTTTGCATAAATTGACAGGGCAGAATATCTAAACAGTAATTTTGGCTGGCTTTGTTGGAATACTTTACAGAGGATCCGAGTGAATCGTTGGCATCCGGTCCGTGTAGGCTTCAGGAACAAGGTTGGTCTCATCAGACTCCACCTGGGCTTTTCTTTTCTTGAAGTTACCAGGACTTTTTCGTTGGCCGGGTTGCCCAGTCCTGCCAATGGAGGCAAGCTTCCTCACCTTTTTTGGAGGTCTCTGGAACCAATGGAACAAAGCAAACAGGTTCTCCTCTTCTTGGTTCAGCTTTGTTTTAACTTTCTGGAAGAACTTCACACAAAGCCACACAATTAAACTCATGTCCAAAGTTTTTTGTTTAGACAGACAAAATCCCTATGGAAGTTATGCAAAAACAGACTCTGAGCTAAGTAGTGAAAGATTACTACCACTATTTTTATGCTGTGTTGGTATCAAGGGGAGAGAAAATGCAAACACAAGTTAGCTTTTTTGGAAAAAAAAAAATTGCAACCTTGCTGTTGATCCTGGTCACCAAATCAAGAAAACTTTGTGGATTCGGAACAAAATACAAAAAAAAATACCAGCATTATGTCAAAAAACTTAGAAAATATCAGGTGTATTCAGTCCTGTGTAGGAAATTTGTACTCTCAACAGTTCCATTAATAAGAATCCGTTGAGGTCTTTTTTTTTTTTCCCTATTTTTTTAGAAACAATTTTTGGAATAACAATTATTAAACAATAAATAATAAACAATTAATAAGCAATCAAAGTATACAATATTACAAGGTGACAATTACCATTGACAATTTACATACATATTAAGTACTGAGAGGTTTTATACACATTTTAGAAAACCAGTGTTAACATTTCTGTACATGCCGAAGTTTTACCATTTTTCCAAGTGACAATGCTTTCCTTTCAGTTTTACTTCACTGGGTAAGCCAAATAGAACAAATTTATTTAACGCCTTTCCCCGGAGGAAAGGGAGAAACTTTGTGGAGAGTCTCAGGAGCTCTACTGAGATTTCACAAAATTTCCTTGCATCAGTCAAATGAGAGGCTACCAAATTTGTACTTGAATTCAGATCTCTGGGAAGCTTTGCCAGCGAAACAACAGAAACAACAATATTAAATTTCTATCAAGGTACCGGCTTAGTTTAGTATTACAATGTTGACAATTTTACTGAAATGGCCTGTGTGGCCACATGAAAGCAAGCTTTAGTATTAATTAATTTTTTATTATGTGAATAAATTGATTAAATAATGTAATACAGTCAAATTTTCAACACATATTATTGTTTTTTTAAACCTATTATTCGCAGGTTTTATAAGCCAAGGCAAATAAAATTTACTTTTCCTTAAACCTTTTACGACTTACTACATAACCTCAATTTTAGCCTTTTTTTTTATTTTTATTTTTTTACATTTTGGCACAACCAGACATTTTAATTTTAAGACAGAACTACTTTTTTTTTTAATTTACCATCAGTCATTAATTGCTCTTTCTCTTTTCTTCAGACACCACTAAAACTTTTAACAAATTATGATGGTGGTTTTCTTACAGTAGTGCAGAACACAAGGAGGTGCTTTGTGTGTTTGTCACCCCAAAATGTTAATTTAAGCATTGCAGATTATTAAAATTGACTTAAAAACAGTACATATATAAGTATATTTATGTTTTTAGTCAAGGAAAGAAAAATACTTCAAAGATACATTTAAACAGAATAGATTATTAATATTAAATTTGAACTAGTTTTTGTATATTACTTAATTTTCCTACGGTACCCAACAACAGAGTGGTAAGATGTGGTATAGATACACAATGAAATACTACTCAGCTATATTAAAAACAAAAAAATGAACTCTCGCCATTTGCAACAATATGGATGGAACTGGAGTGGGTTATGCTAAGCAGAATAAATCAGAAGAAATACTGGATGATGTCACTCTTATGTGGAATACAGAGAAACTAAACAAAGGAAAAAAATCAAAACCAAAATAACTGGTATGACCCTGTATGCCCAAATCATATACAAAGTTGTAAACCATAGTTATCTCAGTAAAAGCAATTAAGAAATAAAAATAAATACATTTTTAAAAGCAATTGCCTGCCTCAAGATCACTGTCAAATGTGGAGTGCAGCATTAGAAGACCCCTCCTAGACTTCATTCTAGATATTCCTCCATCCTGTCAGCCCAAAAAATGAGGAAACTATAAACCAGAGAGAGACACACTGGGGGGTGGATGGGGGAGCTGGGGAGTAAGATCAAAACAAGGGGTGTGGGACTATAAATTGAATGGGGACTATAAACAAGATGAAAATGCATACATGGTGAAAAAATTAAAAATGATGTAAAAAATTTTAAAAAGTAATAAAAAATATATATTTTTTTTTAAAATGAGGAAACCGAAACTTAGGAGAAGGTGACTGGCCCAAGGTCACTATCAGTTAAAGGCAGAGATAAAGATCTTAGGTGCCCCGTTTCCTGGCCCTGGCCTCTCCTATTTTCCCCTCCTAAACATCAAGTTCTCCTCCCTAATCGCCTTCTTTCCTATCAGTCTCTTCACAGCGTTTTTCACTTCAGCATTCCTGAAGGAGTAAATGACAGGGTTTAAGAGCGGCGTGACCACTGTGTAAAACACAGCCACTATCTTGTCAGCAGGGAAGGTGACACAGGGCCTCATGTAGACAAAGGAGCAGGGAATGAAGAACAGACCCACCACCGCAACATGAGAGGCGCAGGTGGACAGGGCCTTGCGCCGGCCCTCTGAGCTCTGGCTCCGCAGGGAGTGTAGGATGACCACATACGAAGTCAGCAGCACCACGAAGCTGATCACTGAGACGGGGCCACCATTGGCGATGATTAGCACACCAATGAGGAAGGTATCTGAGCAAGCCATTTTCAGCACAGGGTGGACATCGCAAAAGTAGTGGTCCAGGGTCTTGGAGCCACAGAAGGGCAGCTGGAATAGGAGGAAGGTTTGCCCCGCAGAGTGCAGCAAGCCCCCACCCAACGCGGCCCCCACCAAGAGACTACACACTCGCCGGTTCATGATGACGGTGTAGTGGAGGGGCTTGCAAATGGCCACGTAGCGGTCGTAGGCCATCACCGTCAGCAAAAATATCTCAGTGCCGCCCAAAAAATGGAGGAAAAATATCTGCGTGATGCAGCCCTTGACAGAAATGACTTCTGTCTCCATAAAAGAGTCAAGGATGAGCTTGGGGACTGTGACAGAGGAGTAACAGATCTCCACAAAGGACAAGAAACCTAGGAAGAAATACATGGGCGAGGTCAGCCCTTTGCTGGCCATGATGGTCACCACGATGAGACCGTTGCCCAGCACAATGGCTGTGTACATGAGGAGGAAAATCACGGAAATGATCTTCTGTACATCCCGGTTCTGGGACAATCCTAATAAGATGATTTGTGTCACGTTGCTGGTAGCAGCCATGGTTTAGAGCTGACAGCCTAGAATCACAGAAATCAAGAATTTTCCTTCATTACTGAGAAATATCCTTCTCGAACCTCAAGGACAATTGTCATTGTGCTTCCTGCATTGAAACAGAGTCTAATGATAACACAAACTCGCAAGAAATGCTGACAAGAGTCAAAATACCTTCTGCCTTGAGTTTCTCCGAAACATGCTCTTCATGAGACAAATGAGCAAAACAACCATCACCAGCTTAGTAATTATCCCTAGAAATGTTTTCTCTGAGCTACGCACATGCATTCCTTAATTTATCCTCACAATAAAAATGAGACAATATTTTATACATAAGAAAACTGAGACTCAGATTCAGTTGCTAATCCAAGGTCACACACCTCTGGACTGAGTACTGCTGGATCTTTCAAAACATAGATGCTTCTACTGCATCTGCTGCTCAAAGGTGACTTATGTGGGTGGCATAAGAAGTGTTTCAGTCAATCTGGCCTCACACCACCATGTGGACCCCATTTTTTAATCGAGTGCTTAGGTTTCTCAACCTCAATTATCCTGCAAACTGCAAAACCAACCTAAGAGGCATCACAAAGAAGCCAGTAACTTCTCAGCCTTTCGGCTAACATCAAATGGAGTATCTGTTCTAATCAGAAAGAAGCTGAAAAATGGTCACCCACTGTCCTTGAGGTGGAGAAGGAGAAGTCAGAGTCTCCAACAGGTGCCTCAATAGTCCTAGACCAGTGGCTATGAAACTTTTCCCAAAGTCACTATGTTCCATTTTATCCCAAGCTACTGTTCCACAAGGGTACCAAGCCTGCTTCAGCAGAGCCTCGGGGCACATCAAGTGCACACAAGGACAGGCTCACAGGTGGTTTCATTACTGTCACCTGAAGCAAAGATTAGGTAAAGAGCCCCTAACGAGCAGCACCACGGGGCCCCAGAGACTGACTAGGGTGATCAAACACAGAAAATCCAAGTCACAGCCTCAGAAATGGTCATTCCCTCAGGGAGAAACAGCCCTCCAGCCACCCTGTGCTATCCTAAGCTGATATTCGCACACCACAAAGCCAGCTGGCAGCCCGGGCCACCTTCCCTGTTGCTGGGGAGCAGCTGTGACAGTAGGACCTGCTGACGGGAACACTGGGTGAGGGGAAAGGGGACCTGGCTCAATCCTAGCACAGTAGCTTAGGCGCCGGGTAACAGGAAACAACGACAGAGCCCCCTAAGTCTGCCATTTCCATCTGAAACACAGAAATTAAAATCACTTTTGCATGATATGCCCTTGGGGGATGAAACAAGTTACAAGCCTTAAAAGCAAATTATAATCATAGTTTTTAAGATTATATTGATGAAATGACAAGGATATCTTTGAGGATGCTCTTGCTCTGCCTTTTTGTCTGTTACTGTGGTGCGTACAGGGACCTACTACGGTGCTCCTGCTTTGCCAGCACATTTGTGTAGACTTGTAGCATCCTGGGATTCTGAGTGAAGCACCTGACAAGCCTATGGAATCATCAGCAAGACAATGAAACTGGACTGAATATGCCAGGTGACATGCCAAGCCAATCACAGAAAGAAAAATGCTGTCGGAGTCTACGTTCTACATGAGGACCCCAGAGTAGAAAACTTCATAGAGACAGAGAGTAGAAGGTGGTTGTCAGAGGCTGAAAGGAGAGAGACATAATTAGTATTAGTGGGGACACAGTTTCAGTTGTGTGTTCATGTTGGCCACACAACAATGGGGTTGGTTAATAGCACTGAGCTGTACAAAGAGGTTAAGGTTGTAGGTTTTAGGTTTTCTACAATCAATCAGTCAGCCAGTACTCACATTTGCCCTTCGCCATTGCCACCTCCAAGAACAGTGGTGGAAGCTTGTCAACATTGTCATGCCCCTTCCCCCTCCCTCTTTGAGATTCTTTCACATGCCTATTAGGGAGTCTGATTAGTTTCACAGGAGGCAGAATAATTGAGTTTGAGAGACTCTGACATTTGCAATGGGAAATCCTTTCCATGCAAGATGGATATGACCCCTTCTTATGGAGCCTTCAGAAGTAAGAAAAATATAGAAGAATCTACAGATTACAAAACACAAACCTCAACTCACATATGAGATGTGTGACCTTGAGCAATTGATTCAACTTCTCTGAGCTGCAGTTTCCTCACCTGTGAAGTAATCATAAGACTCAGAGTCAGGACTCCTTACCTCCCCACTGGCTCTTCTGTGTGCCCAGCTGACCCTTCAGTCCGCCAATATCCCACACCCGGATGTTCGTGCAGAGAGCGGGAATCTTGGGTGGGCTTGTTTTACCCTCATGGCAAAACAGCTCTATTACTAAGTGAATATTAGTCTCAGTGAAATTTAGCTTTGAAAGTCAGTGTCCTTTGTTTCTTTAATTACTTCTGACTGGGGTGTTAGTGACAGAGGTCTACAAGGATTTGTAAAAACTACGTTAGTGTCTGACTTTCCAGATTTAAAAAGAATTGTCTTTTTCTTCCCAAAAGCTGTTGAAAGTTAACAGAGCATGAAGTACCCAAAGTGGAATCAATTTTTCTATTAAAAAGTTAAAATTTGAAAGTTTGTAGAATGGAAGAAAAAGGGAAGTAACATTTATCAAAACTCTGAATGAAAATGGAAAATATGAGGGAGATGATTTCATCCGGAGGTCATCAGACCCGTAAGTCATTGACAGAGGCGGTGACATTTGATTGTGGGGTAATTTTTTTTTTAAATAATAAATTTTATTTTTATATTCCCCCATACAACTGCACATGCCCCATTCTGACCCCATTCTGACCCCAATCCCTCCCCTCCCGGCCAGATTGTGGGGTAATTTTAATTCTGACTTTTTAATTAGTAGCACCAAAGAAGAGGCCCTGAAATAGAAGTGTGTGTTCATAGCATATAAAAGTGAATGTCATGTCCCACTTTCTGCTTGGGAAAACATAACATAGTGATGAGCATAGACTCATAGGACAAATTGGTCCCAATAAACATTTTTCCAATCTTTACAGTGAATCTGGTCCTCACCTACGATGAGTCATATACCATTCCTGTCATAGTACCTTGTGTCTGTGGAACTGGAAAATAAGATTGGTCTGAATGACCTATTTGAACATTCCTTTCCTCTAACTTTTTCTCTAAAGATGTCCCATCAGCAGAGGAGTCAAACAGGGCCTCTCCTTCCTGGCTATCCAGTGAGTAATCTTAAACTGCTAAGGCTGGAAGGAAGCACACGAATCTCTCCTCTTGCAGAAGGGAAATCCAAACCCCGAATGACACAGCCTGTGGTGCAGAGCCTGAACTAGAGGCAGGCTCCACGTCTTCCTGTCCATGACCACATCACTGCCCCTCTCTGCCACTGACTACACCCCCTGGTGCTCACCCAAAGCTGGCTTCTAGAGTGGAAGGCAGGATGGAGAGACAGAGGCATGTTTCTAACAAAAGGCAAAGCAATGCCAAAGGTAAGATCTAAAGACGTGATGTAGGAAATGAACAACAGTGTGGTCCACCGTCAGTCATTTACCTGCCTGAGGTGTAAAGTCTATGCAGCCAGGGCGGGATGTAGGGGCCCTGGAAAAGAGAGGATATCTCAGGAGTCTGCCACATTGGACAGCCAGGGAAGGAAGCCTTTGCAAGACATCCTGAGGACTTGGAATCTTAGCTCTAGCACTTTGTTGCTAAGGTTTAAATGATTTTCTGCCTGTTTCACAAAGGCACGTCATAAGCACATCACGTATTTCCAGCAAAAGGGAATATGACCGTTTAAGCCTTCAGAAGGTCTCATAGCCACGGCTGCACCCTGCACAGTGTGAAGAACTCAGTAGATTTTAATGAGTGTTTAGGTTTGAGTCCTGAATCCCCTTCTGCTATTACACCTATTTCAAAGCTAAGATATCACTGCTAGTGTCTATAAACAACACTGAGGATAAAGCACATGAGGGGATACCTAGTATAAGCAAAATAAGCCAAAGCATGCCCCCAGAGCGCTTAAGCGAAGGAACCCACCTTGAATAGTGTGATTCTTAACTTATCTTCTGAATCTTCTGTATCAGAAAATCGAATCACTTGCACAAGTCATCCCAAGCAAACAGAAATTGTTTCACTAATAAAAGGTTATTAGAGAAATTAAAGAGTATGTTAGCACTCATGGATCTAAAGCTAATACACCTTGGATCAGCCAAACTCAGGTTTTTGTGTAGCCAAATCTCCATTCAGGCTCAAATGGGGCAAAATCCTTTATTTCAACCTAGATGGTCTTAGCAGGTCCCTTGTATTTCTCAAAAGAATATTTCTGGAAAATACATGATTCAGCAGTTGACTGAAAACTGGCTTTCCAAATAACTAACTCCACACTGGCCAGCTACAAGTGCCTCTGGGGAAAATAACTATAAGTCCAGCCAGAGCTACTTTCTCACTGCATCACAGGAGAGCCTTTGATGGGATAATACCTAAGGACTGTCCCATTTGTTGAAATTGTGAGCACCACTAAGAAAAGCTCTCCAAGTGTGGAAGCCAGAGCCAAACCAAAGAGCAGTGTCAGTGTGGGAGACACACTCTGCCAGAGGGTCTGCCCAGTCCTGGTGAAGGTTCAGTGAATGAGCTGACCCAGAATCTATTCCCGGCCTAGAGGCACCCCTTAATGCTGCTAGTCCTCTAGGCACTGACCAGGTGTCATCAAGTCACCAGCTCCATGTGCCGATCCAGCACCTAATGACTCTCACCAAGAAAGTTAAAGGAATAGAAATAGGGCCAGTCTACCCCAAAGCCCAGAGGGAGGATTAAGGAAAATATTTGTTGGACAAAGGAGTCACTCGCATTTAAGGAGTATGAGATGGAAAATTGAGATCAGAGAATTGAATTCCCTGAACTTTTCTAGCATGGCTGTCTGGGGAGTTTCTGAGAAGAACACAAGTCAACTTCCCAGTTGCTTCATTCAGAGGCTAAGGAACTTATCTCTAATTAATACAATTATAAAGTCAAGACTTATTTGCCCTGCATGACTAGTCCCCTC